GATCGAGGATGAAAAACCGGGCCTGGGGAATAACGGGTCGAGACTTCTGGGGGCCCCGCATGGAAAAAATCACGACACACATCCCTCGTCGAAATTGAACGCAAGTTTTAGCCGCGACCTGGCGGGGCCCCCCGACCCCCAATTTCAATGTTCACGCCGACGCCGGCGACTTCGAGATTTTCTTCGGACCCCGCCGGCCGCGACGCGCCCGTCGACGAACATTGAAATTTGGGGGCGACGGGGGTGGAAAAAACTTGCGTTCAATTTCGACGAGGGTTGTAGGATCTATGGGGAGGCGACGATCGACGATCCTCAGAAGGCATGCCAGCGCCAGAGCGGGGGCCTCGCCGCGGGCGGGGGCCTCGCCGCGCGGTCGGGGGCGGGCTCCCCCCCCCTCCCCCGAGCGGCGCGCACGGCCGGGGGCCAGGGCCAGGGCTCAGTGGGGCACGCACACTGAATCTCGCACGGGAAAGCGGATCCTGGTATGTGCGGGATCCTGGTATATACATCCTCGGGGGAGAAAAAGATACGGATACGTGTTGTCCCCCTTCGTTTTCGGCCTTTCCTGGCCCTCCTGGGGAATCCTCGTTGTCACCGCTGGATTCGCCTCGAAATTCTGGTCAGAACGCACCCCAAGAGAGGTCCGGATCCTGGTATGTACGGGATCCTGGTATATATCGGGGGAGCGTAAGACCCGGGTTTGCCAGGACTCGGGTGTCGCCATCGTTTTTCGACGACCGCGCCTCGGATTTTGACGAGGAGGAGTGTCGTGGGGTGTCTGCAGTGGGAGGCCTCGTCAAAATGCAGGCTCGGCCTCGTCATTTTTTTGACGACCTCGTCGGGTATTTCCGAGTCCCCTGTACCCAGGTCTTACGTCCCCCTGAGGGTGGACACATTGGCCTGGAATCGGTGATGCATCGCCGATGGACCGGCGATAAGCCCCCGATCTTGAGTCCGCAAGGTCATGGGCGGGTTGGGGCTATATCGGGCTCCTGTCCGCGATGAATGGGCGACAGGGGGTCGATGCATCTCCCCCTATGCCCATCCCCCCCCCCATCCCTATCTCACCGAGCGCGTTCCACTACTCGCAAAGTGCCTACTCGCAAACGTCCGAAAAGCAAATGCCTGCTTCGATGTAATGTGTCGTGGATCTTCCACGGCGAATCCAGGCAATCTGCGAGCTGTCACTCTGCGAGCAGTGGAACGCGCTTGTCTACTATCGTTGCCCTGTCGGCGATGCATGGGCGATCGGGGGTCGATGCATCTCCCCCTATGCCCATCCCCCCCTACCCCTATCTCACCGAGCGCGTTCCCCCCGAGATACGTGTGCTGCTCCCTCCGGGGCTGCTCGCCCCTGTCGTCGCCTCCCCCCCCCTATCCCTATCTTTGCCCCTGCGAGATACGTGTGCTGCTCCCCCCTGGGGCTGGAGGAGGAGGAGGAGGAGGAGGAGGAGGAGGAGGAGGAGGAGGAGGAGGAGGAGGAGGAGGGGGAGGCGGAGGCGGAGGCGGAGGCGGAGGCGGAGGCGGAGGAGGAGGAGGAGGAGGAGGAGGAGGAGGAGGAGGCCCCTGTCGTTGCCTCCGAGAGAGAGAGAGAGAGAGAGAGAACCCGACCGGGAGGCCCGTCGTCCGCCCGGCCCCACCGCGCCCTCTCGCATCCGACCCTGGACGCAGTCGGGGGGGGACAGATAAAACGACGCGAAGATCGGGACAACATCGGATCGGTATATAACTCGAAATCTCTGAGAATCGGCGGGTTTGGAGGATGTATTGGGCGCCGCGGCCGCACGACGCGAAGATCGGGACAAAATCGGATCGGGAGAACTCGAAATCTCTGAGAATCGGCGGGTTTGGAGGATGTATGGGGCGCCGCGGCCGCTCCAGGGCGTTCCGGAACGCTCTGAGAGCGCTCCCGAACGCTCTGGAGCGATTCATCCCGATCTCAGCCCTGTTTTCACAGACCTCCTACCCTGACGCGTCGATTAGCGAATTGGCCGTGTTCGGTTCGCGAGAGGGCGTCGCGGCCGTCACTTTTGCGGGTCCAGGTCCGTCGGTTTCGGTCCTGGGCCGTTCTCACTGAAGGGAGGTTTATTGAAGGGAGGTTGGTCCACCGCCGATACAGTCGAGACTGATTGATTGGCAGGTCGACCCTGCCAAATCTAGGATACCCTTGTGTCCTGAGCTCCGCGACCCATGCCTTCTCACATTCCCAGAGATCCAACGCATTGCAAAAATCAAGACGGAGGTTTTTTCAGTTTTCGGCCTCTCGGGGCCCTCGCCGGGCCCCAGGACCGACAAAAAACAAATTGAGGATGAAACACCGGGCCTGGGGAATAACGGGTCGAGACTTCTGGGGGCCCCGCATGGAAAAAATCACGACACAGGATCCTCAGAAGGTATGATCGAGGGGACGAACAAATCACGACATTGAAAAAATCACGACATAGGATCCTCAGAATTCACGACATTGAAGGACTTCTGGGGGCCCCGCATTGAAAAAATCACGACATAGGATCCTCAGAAATCACGACATTGAAAAATTCTGGGGAGGCGACGATCGACGATCCTCAGAAGGTATGCCAGCGCCAGAGTGGGGCCTCGCCGCGGGGGGGCCTCGCCGCGCGGTCGGGGGGCTCCCCCCCCCCTCCCCCGAGCGGCGCGCACGGCCGGGGGCCAGGGCCAGGGCTGAGTGGGGCACGCACGCTGAATCTCGCACGGGAAAGCGAATCCTGGTATGTACGGGATCCTGGTATATACATCCTCGGGGGAGAAAAAGATACGGATACGTGTTGTCCCCCTTCGTTTTCGGCCTTTCCTGGCCCTCCTGGGGAATCCTCGTTGTCACCGCTGGATTCGCCTCGAAATTCTGGTCAGAACGCACCCCAAGAGAGGTCCGGGGACAACACGTATCCGTATCTTTCCGCCCCCCAACATCTTTCGTTGTTTCCCCAGGAAGACGGGGGAACAAATATGCAGCACACCACCCCGACGGCGTCCCCGACCGTCAAAAAAGTCATGTGATTGAAAAACCGCTCGCCATTGGTAACGTATATGCTCCAGTTTGAAACTAGAACATAGACGTTACCAGTGGCGGGCTGTTTCGCAATCCCAGGAATTTTTGAGGGTCGGGGGCGACGTCGGGGTGGTGTGGTGTATACTTATTTGCCCGTTTTCCTTTGGAAAGAACGAAGAATGTATACATCAGGATCCCGTTTACACCAGGATCCGCTTTCTTGTGCGAGTTCCAGTGCGGGGCCGGAGAAAGCGTCGGTGTATAGAGTTCGGCTCTTTAGGAATATCCAAAAATAGTAAAGAATGATAGTATGGGGGCGATTTCTCGACTATTCTTTGCTGTTTCTGAGGATTCTTGGACTATTCTTTAAACTGTTTCCTCCCGAATCCGCCTGTAGGGGGACATGCCCGACCTGAAGCCAGGGCCCGAGGCCCAGGGACAACGCTCGGGGGGGGGATTCTCTGGGCCTCCCACGTGGTGTTCGAGCAGACCCAGACCCGATGGCGTCGTCAAAAAATCAGGACGGTAGGCTTTTGCTATTTCCGGCCCCTGGGGGCCCTCGCCGGTCCTCGGGAGCGTCAGAGAACGGGTCAGGATGAAAAAGCGGCCCTGGGAAAGGGTCTGGACTTCCAGGGACGCCGTACTGAAAAAATCAGGACGTCGCATGTCTGGGGATAGGATAGGGTCGGAGGACCGCGCCGCATCGCCGATGCATCGGCGATGCGGCTCGATGTGGAGATCGTGTTTCCCCACGCCGACGTCATCGATGCGTCGCCGACGTCGGCGATGCATCGCCGATCCATCGATCCATCGCCGATGCATCTGCGATGCGGCGCCATCCTCCGACCCTATCTACTTGGACCCCATCTAGGCGGTCTCTCTAGATTAGGGCTCCGAGGGGACGGCAGGTTCGAGGTCTTAGGGGTTCCTCGGGAGTTCTCGTCGGTCCCTCTTCCTCCCTCGGGAGGTCTTCCAGCGGCTGCGCCTCGCCGAGGGCGTTCCGGGAGTTCCCGCATCGTCCCGAACGGCCGCCAGAGGTCCGAGGTATGGCCTGTCAGGGGCAACGTCAGGGTGGGACGATGGGCTGACAGCCCACCGCGCCCAGGAGCGTGCGGATTTGCTGCCGGAGGCCATCGCCGATCTATCGGCAACTCATCGCCGATCCCAGCGCAATGTTGCCCCCCCACCCCCCCCTTGCGTTCCCTGAGAGGGATGCGCAGGGGGCCAGGGGCACGCGTCCCTCCCCGTCGTCTCGCCTCCTCGCTATCCTCCTGCTCCGCCTCCTTCCTCTCTGCGCTGCGACGTGGCTGCGTGGCAACGCGAAGGCGGCCAGGAGCGGCCAGGATCGGGCGGAATCAATGCCTGGCATCGCTCGGACGTGTGCATTTTTTCCTCGGCGAGGACCGTGGAGGAGCATCCTGGATGACGCAGCGAAAAAGCAAGCACGACATCGAAACATGCAGGAGGAATGGACGTCCGAGCGGTGGCAAGAATGGGTAAACTTGGGAAAGGGGGGGTACGAACTCTGATGCATGCAGCTGGTTTCCGCCCCGCCGCTGGGCCCGTTCCTCGATACACGGGGGGCGCCTGCCCGCGCCAGGAACGCCGGCTGCGTGAGCTGATTCTCTACGCTACCTTCTGCTATCCTGCCCTTCCGCCCCCCCCCCCCGACGGAGAGGCTTGCTCCCCCCTGGTTTGGGTCCCCCTCCTCCCTCCTCCTCCTCCTCCTCCTCCTCCTCCTCCTCCCCCTCCTCCCTCCTCCCTCCTCCCTCCTCCCTCCTCCCTCCCCCTCCTCCCTCCTCCTCCCTCCCCCTCCCTCCTCCCTCCCTCCCCCCTCCCCCCCCCCCCCCACCCCCCTCCCCCTCCCTCCTCCTCCCTCGGGCCAGGGGCTGTTCAACAAGTGAGACGCAACGCCCAAACGGATTCCCATTCGGACGTGCGGGCCAGGCCGCGCGCCGCGCGCCGCGCGCGCGTGCGCGTGGCCGCAGAGGCGCTCGGCGACCCCCCGCGGGGATCGAGGAGGGCCCAGAGGGGCCCGCGGAGGAGTGCGCCGCCCTGGACTTCCTGCCCGAGGCGGCCGACCCCTCCGTCGCGTCGTCGTCGTCGTCGTCGTCGTCGTCGTCGTCGTCGTCGTCGTCGTCTTCGTCATCGTCGTCGTCATCATCGTCGTCGTCGTCGTCATGCGGCTGCCGTCGTCGTCGTCCTCGTGGTTGGTCTTGTGATCCTGAAGCTGGATAAAGGGCAAGGCAGCTGGACCTGACGACGAACCTCCTGAATTTGGAAGTTTGTGGCTTCCACGAAGCTGTGATCGACAGACTTTCCAACACATGCCAACACTGGTGGGTTTAACAAACAATCCCTGAACCCTGAAAGAGAGCAAACGTTGCACTGCTTGTCAAAAAGGGCAATGCCGCGTTGCCAGCGAACGACAGTCTGTTGCGTGTAAAGTACGGGCAGCAGTGCTGCACAATCGGCTGGTTCAAGGCTGTGCAGAAACACGGATACGAGTTTCGCAACTTGGGTTCTGGCCGCGCCGTGGCGCAGGCGACGCCCTCATCCTAACACGTCGGATGATCGATGCGGCCTCCTTGCGCAACAGTACTGGTCTGACCAGATTTTTGCTGATGGGCGAAAGCCTCCGATCTACTTAACCCACACTGTGTATGCGTGATGCCCTGGAACGCTTCGGCCTGCCAAGTGACGTGGTGGAAACGGCACGCTCGAGCTTTCGGCAAGACCTTTCGCCATCGTTGATCACGCCGGCTGGTCTTCTCACCGACTACAGCGTGCCAGGATCGCCCAGGGTTGCCCAATTTCGCCGCATCTTTTCATCGTCCTGCAAACTGTCATGTTGCATGATGCATACGGCACGCTTGACCTACTTCCTGAGCCAGATTCTGTCATTACGTGATCGTTTGTACGTTGTTGATACATTGTTGGTGTTTCAGCATTGTGACAGTTTGCAGCATATGTTGGCAACGATCGTGGAGGAATGTAAAACAAATGGCCTGGACCGGAATTGGAATAATTCGGTGCAAATGCACATCTCCACAGAACGAGCGATAGCATCACCCAGCGGGAAACAAATTAAGGCAGCGAGGGGAACCTTATATTTGGGTGGTCGTATGTCGTGCGATTGAACGTGGCAACTAAACAGGCGAATTGGAGAACGTAGCCGTATTTCCAAGCAGTTGCACCGGGTATGGAGCGGGACTGCAGTTGGAAGGACAAGAGGAGTTGTTTTCTATGACATCTGCGTCCTGAGCAACTCTTGTACCCATTCGATTGTGTTTGGCTTATGACGGCAGGCCGTGCGAGTTTAGACGCCTTTGCAAATTCTTACATCGTTTGCGGGAAATGCTTCCGTCTTTATCAACGCACGAGTGTTGCAGAAAGCATCCGCCCAGCCTCTGTCGGATATTTGCTCGACAGGCAGTTTGTATTGTACGGTCAACTCACGAGCTCGGTTTGCCCAGCCTTTGGCAACACGACTGTTTGCAACGACGATGGGACATCCAAAAGGTGGGTTGGGCGCCGAAAGGGTGCCGCCTCCGCCAACAGTGGGCGAATCAGGTCTGCAAGCTGTTTCAGCATGCATAGCAACGGTACCCCTTTTCTTTCTTCCCTGTTTCCTCCTCCCCCTCCCCCTCGACCCCCTCTTTTCTGAATTCCAGTATTGTGATGCGCTTCGTTTTCCGCTTCGCAGTCGTGATGCGGTCTGTTGTTTTGCGTCACGGTCGTGACGAAGTCGCTTTTGCTTCACAGTCGAAGCTGTGCGTGCACGCGGTCGCTTTGCAGTTCATTGTTTGCCGTGTTTTCTTGAAGAGATGCCAATCGCGCGCTCTTTTGCCCACGCGTCCGTCTGGACGCTCGGCTCAATGGTGGTGGTGTTGGTGGTGGTGGTGGTCGTCGTCGTCGTCGCCGCCGCCGTCGTCGTCGTCGTCCATCGTTGTCGTCGTCGTCGTCGTCGTCGTCGTCGTCGTCGTCGGTAGGCGTAGCAAGAGAAGTGAGATGGGGAGCACAACGAATGGAAGAGGTTTTCGGAAGTTCTCATCGGCTTTCGGAAGACTTCTCAGGCCGTCGAAATGTTCAGAGGTGTTCGCGTGTGTTGCTGAAGTGTTCGTCGGGAGTGTCGACTTCTTGAAGCCTCAGAAGGGGAAGAGGGTGGAAGGATAGAAGGGGGGGACGAGGACATATCCAGAACGCGCCGAGTTTGGTGACAGGACGGATGAGAGAGCGCGGGGGCGCATGGATTGGCGACAGAGACAGAGAACCAAGGAGTTTTCACGACCCAGGGAGGAGGTGGAGGTGGTGGAAGAGGAGGCGGAGATGAAGGAGGAGGGGGGAAAAGAGGAGGTTAAGTAGGAGGAAGAGGAGGAGTAGGAGGAGGAACAGGGAGAGGTGGAGGAGGAGGAGGAGGAGGAGGAGGAGGAGGAGGAGGAGGAGGAGGAGGGGAAGGAGGAGGGGGAAGAGGAGGTGAAGGAGGAGGAGGAGGCGTAGGAGGAGGAAGATGGTGAGGTGACGGAGGAGGAGGATGAGGAGGAGGCGGAGGAGGAGGAGGAGGAGAAGGAGGAGGGGGGGAAGGGGAGTCGAGCCCCGCGTGCCCTGTCCCAGTGGGCTGGGTCTTCAGCCTGGGAGACGTCTTGGCGGGCCCCCTCTTGGGGACTAGTACGTTCGGCCACCGAGCAATCTCTGCTACTTGCAGGCGACCGTGTTTTTGGAGCTCCCGCTTCTGAAGAACAAGTATCCTCGCCCTCCCCCCCCTGTCCGGCGCGCGTTGTGCTTTTCGATTGACGTGCCGCCTTGGGCTCAAACAGTGTGGTGGCCCCACAGACTACCACAACAACGGCCCCCGCACGGTTTCCTTCGCGGTTTACTCAGATTCGCGTTGTCGCTAAGAAGATTCCTTGGCATTTTAATTGCGATCGCGACGTCCAGGAATCGCGCTCTCGCCGCCCTCCTTCCTCCGTCTTCTGTCTTCTCTCCTTCACTCTTGATCCTACCTCGGAAGGGGCGGGCGCGGATGGTGGACGATGGTAGGAGGTGAGGGTATGAGGAGGCTGAGCTCGCACACGTGATGCGATATTTGGATGCGGAACGAATGCGGAGAGAGGGGATGTGAGAGGATGAGGATGGCATGGAGACGGGGATGTTGTGAGTACAGCAGTGTGGGTAGGGGGAACGGGTGCGATGGAACAAGAGGCAAGGCGAGGGATGGAAGACAGAGGACAAGACGGGATGGCATAGGAGGTGCGGAAGGTACGGACGGGGTCCTTCTTCGCTCTCCGTCCCGCTTGCCCCCCCCTCCTCTGCCCCCCCTCCTCCGTGGCAAGTTTGGCTCAAGACTATGTGCTCCACATGGGAGCAAGTGGAGACCGCTGGTCCGCGGCTCGTTTCTAGATCTTCCAAATCGCTCTCGGCGCCAAGCTCCTGCGACAGTGATTGCGCAGCTGCGTCATGGCCGATGGCGGAGGTTCAGGCACTGTCGTTCTTGCACGCACCCGCGTAGCGGAAACAAGCTCGTCCACTGGGGCAGCAACCTCGGGTGCCACGGGTGCAGGTTGCACAACAAGGGCTGCGTCGGTGGCGGGGTGCCCCCGGACTCCCCCTGCCCAGCCAGCGCTTCCCTTGCAGGCCGTGGGAGAAGGGGCCTTGCGGGCGCTGGCTCCAGCTCGCGGGCCGCGAGCTCCAAGACCGAGCGGGCCCCGCAGACGGCGTTGGCGGAGCTGGCAACGATCAAGAAACCCACGTCCGAAGGCGAGTTCGAGGCAGCGCACACTGACGTCGACGGCGGCGCGGGTGCGAACGAGGAGGCCGAGCCGACTGCAGAGGAGTCAAGAAATTGGAGTCCAACTCGGCCATCGTCATGCATGCGCGGGGGCAGTGGGTGGAGGAATCGCAGCAGAGGTTCAAGGCTGAGCTGGAGTGCGCCACGTCTCGGTTGCTCAACGCTAAGCCGCTGCACGCGGAGGCCCACGCCGTCGCCAACCGTGCCAAAGCAGGGGCCGCAAACACCGAGAAGGTTAACGTGGCGCAAAATAAAGCGAAGCTGGCGCGCGATGTGGCAGTCAAGACCCTCTTCAATCATCCGACATTCACGTGGAGGAACCCATGCGGCAGCAGGTGTAATTTAAAAAAGGGGCACTGGGCACGTTGCAGGCTTCGCTTGGTCATGCGGCCTCTGCTTTAGGATGACGTGTGCGATCCGTCTTGCTTCGGCACATCGTCGCAACATATCGAGGATATGGTCAAACAGCTCACCGACGGCAGCACGATCAGCACGACCAATTCGGAAGGTAATCAGGGAGTTGCCAAACACATTCGGAGGGCAGCGCAACGAGTTTTTGCGGCCCAGAGTCTTGGTCCTGCGCCTGCCGGTGGAGGTAGCGCTCCTGTTGCAGCTCCTGCTGATGCGCAAGGCAAGTCTTGAGGCGGAGATGGTGATGACCAACCAGTTCGTGCTCAGTGGGGGCCTAGGCTCAACTTCAGGACAAGCTGCAAAAAACATGGGTGGCTTCGCTGCTGACGCCAACGGGGAGGTGCTGAAAGCAAAGGTAAAGACATTAGCTGCTGGCGGCTTCTCTTCCTCTACAGCTGGTTTCTTTCGGTCTATCGTTTCTTCTTGTGTTCGGAATGATAACGGTTGGCTTTCTGATGGCAAAGGACGCGACGTCGTGGACGTCATTCGCGGGGGTCTCCAGAGAAGCTTTCGAAAAGTACCATTCCGACCGTTTTGCAGGAACGCCTTTCTCGTGATGTGAATTCGCTAGCGCGTTGCCAGGGCGAGATGGCAGACTTCGGTCTCGATGGTATCTGGGCGCCGGCAGCAGACAGTGGCCAGTCCGACGGGGGTGCTTCGGGTGGCGTCGCAGTGGTCACGGTTACTTGCGCGGGACAGTCTTTTGTGAAGGATCCCGTGCCAGTGGCTGGCAGGCTGGTGGTTGACCGCATCCACTGGGGAGTTAAAGGGGGCGTGGTGGCATTGAGCGCGTGCTTGGTAACTGCGGTAGGACTGGGCGAGCATAATCTTCGCGCCCTGCGGGTCCTAGGTCAGTGGCTGGCCAAGTTGTCGG